AAAGTATGTGCTCCTGTAATCCTTAACAGCCACACAAAAACCATCTTAATCATGGCAGCAACACAGTAAGGTAAATAAAGTAATAATAATGGGTAAATAATTTACCATAGACCAAATCATCACACAACTTAGACACTGCTTTCCTCTGCTTGATAAAACAAACAACTTGGAAAACAGTACTGAGAAGAGTTAAATAAACAAAATTCTATTCAACGGTGAGATGATGATCTTGTTTGTGACGTTCCCATCCACTACTTTTACATGCACAATTACAGCAATTGCTTTAATTACACTACAAGATTATATTATGCAAAAAAAGACCATTATACCAAAAGACCATTAGTAAACCAAACTGATAAGAGAAGTCTCTTACTGTAGATTAATAGAAATAATGGGGTCACTTCCTAATTAATTTGCAAAGGAAAATACAGAAACAACCTTAGGTTTATATAGACAGACATTTAAAAATATCAGTCTTGCTCCTGTGGATTTTTTTCCTTGCAAAAGTAAGTTTGTAAAAGTAAGTTCACAACCACATTAGAGCAGAAGATACATTGTTCAAAACATACACGGGGGCAGGTGAACTTACAGCAAGCTCTGAGGAATTTAAATGTTCTACCTTTCTGGGCTGATTGCCTCATCCTTCATGCTTTATTCCTCCCTGATCTATTCACCTGGCAAGTTTCATTTTGCCTTCAGTAGTAGGCTTTACATCAGCCTTAATGCTCAGATAGCTCTTGTCTTCAGTAAAAGGTAAGCTTCATTATGAGTATGTTTACCATGAAGGATGTATAAAAGCATATATACATTATTTACACATCTACATGTCATCAAGGTTTCATCTGATTCTAATCTACTGCAAGATTTCTTTGTTCCTACATACATTGTAAAAACAAAGGAGCGCTGACATTTCTAAGTTAAAAGTTCATAGCTGGAAAGGAGAGAGGTAAGTGAGAGGGGAATCTGCCACTGGTATTTCCACAAAGTATCTGCAAGTGGAATTCTTATCAGCAAGAACTTTGATCCTTTCTCAAACATGCACGTTCAGTTTTCAAACACCTATTCATCCAGCTGAAGAGTGCACTAGGAATTTATCCCTTACGTTAATTTCTGTGGGACAAAAATTACTTCCTGTAGTCTTCCACTGCTCATTCTCTCCATTCTTCCCCCTAAAGGAAGAAAGCGCTGATTTGTGGGGTTTTGTTTGTTTTTTTTAAAAGATTAAAGAAACAAATCAGTTTCTAAGATTCTGCATTGCAGGCAAAATACTGTCCGGTCCTTCTGTATCTCCCACTGGAGCAGAATGTTAACATAACTGCATAAAACTTGTTCTAGCAAAAATTTTAAATATAACTCTGCTTAAAGCAAGAAAATTATTTTGTCACCTACTCAACAAAGTCTCCACTTCTGTGCAATGACAGATCCCCAAAGTGCAAGTGCAATACAAGCTGCCATTGCAAAGCACATGCTTGCAGGGGGGGCAGGATTATACTAGTTCCACAAAATGGCTTAATCAGATAGGTGCTTACATACTGCTCAATTCTTAATTCATTTGAAGTTGTGAAATGGAGCACACTTCTACCTGATACTACAAACAGCTGGGGTAACTTGCCTGCCAATCTAATTAGAAGCATTAGTGACTTAACACCTGCATCCTTAGCTACTCACACCAGAGGCTGTCACAGTAACAGCCACTGGGTTAGGAACATGTCTATGCTGCAGTTATTTTTCACCTGAAGACAATAAGTACTTCCTAAGATTGGCTGTCCAGAAATTGATATAATATTCTGAGAGAAGAAAAGTACATTTAAAACACTTGCCCTCATTTCATAGCAACTGAAGGGGAGTGGTTTGTTTAACTATGGTAAAGAATAACTATTTGCAATATAAATGAAAAAAGCTGTACGGAGTTATAGCTGTCCACTGCACTGTTCATAGGACATTGCCATTGTACAACTCAAAGAACACCAACAAATGTCTAAGAAAAAAAAAGTCACTGCTACAAGCTGGGACAATATTGCAGGCGCAGCACAGACTGTAAGTCAGCGACCCCCTTGATAGCAAAGCAAACACCCAGATTTATGCACACTGCAAAGGAAGGGTGGCTACATCAATAGGTTACCGACTCAGACCGTGAACTTTATCTCAAAATATTGCATTTAACTTTTAAATAAGGTTTAGGAGAACTTGCAACATTTTGCTCCCTGACACAGCTGTATTTTATTAAGGACAAAAATGGGTTAGTCTATAGAAATTAAATTATACTCCTTTGACTGTATCTAGTCAAGAGGAAAAACTCTAATTATGAGATTGTGCTGTCAAATAAATGTAAATTCACATCTTTCATATTCTGGGTTAAAAATTCAAACTCAAGTCTATTATAAAGTAAAATCAATATCTGAAAGATTTCAGCTTTCAGTGATAAGCAACAACCAAAGGAATCAAGTTATGAAAAATATTGGTAGAAGTAGAATGAATTATTAAATAAAACTTGGGAGAATAAGGCATTTATATTATACATATTTAAATATCAATTAGAATAAAGCCAAAACAATAAAGGATGATGAACTGAATCATCTGTTTTACAACCAATCCTCTCTAGAATCGACTGAGGATAACAGAGAAACTAAGCTTGCAATGTAAATTTCTCTCAATTTGAAATAGGTTAAAAATTCAAATTTATTCACTAGTTGAAATGTACAATCTCTGAGCTTAAAATGAGTAAGAACTGCATTTATAGAAGTAAATTATATAAAACAGTGGTACCTGCTATGCACAGCATGCTAGTTACCTCCTAAAGGGAAAATCCAAGGATCTGCTCAGAGACTGTATAAAATTGCACAGGGAAACAAACCAAACCAAAATACCCTAAAGTTTCTTTAAAGAGCTTCTTATTTACTGCATTGCAAACCAATTTCTTCATTGGAGTAAGGACAAATTATGCATCAATATATGTCTAGAATCTATTCCAACAGCTCCAATTTGCCTTTTCCCTGTGCCACAGCCACACTGACCAGACTGCGCCCTTGCCCGCCAGCCTGAGAAAAGATGCATGACTGACCATCCCACGCCACAGCACACAAGTGGCTCTCCCCACTTGCACACATGCAAGCCTACCTATCCACGAGTTGCACTCTCATCTGTGTGGGGTTTAGGTGACTGAAAACACTTCTCCAACATTCACCAGAAGGGACAATGACAAATACATTTCTGGAAGGCTGATCCAGCCTGCGGTTGCGTTGAAATGGAAACATGAAGGAAGCGTGGAAGATATTTCAAACAAAAACCAGCAAATGAGCAAGACCAAACAACTGTTTAAATGAGAACCACCTTTTGTTTCTGTGTCTATATAATATGTTGAGAGCCTCTGAATCACCACGGGATCCATTCAAACCTATTAGAAGTACTATAGAAGCTGTGGTGTGTGAAACCTTCATTCATTTAGAGGCATGTGGTCTTTAAAAGTACCTTGCAAGGTGTAACTATCTCCTAATCCCACCACTCTGAGTAAACTTGAAATAAAATACTCCAACAATACATAGCTTGAAATAATGTTCCTTTAAACTTCCTTTAAACATTTAGCTGCTCTCTCTACAGTGGACTCCAATTTTTTTACAGAAATATAGTCACTGTGGATGGTGCTACTAAGATGAAACAAAGTGCCAGCAGTTCAGCTACTGTTGATAGGTAACAACCATTGTTATTATTTTTCTGATTCCTAATGAAGTGACCTGAAACTACCAGCACAAGCAGAACTAGCTGATTCATAAACACTTTGAAAATACTAATTAACAATTTCCTAATGCAAAGAATCAATGTCACCGTGCAAGACAGAGGCTGCACACATTTGCTAGGTAGAGAGGGATCCTGCTGTTACTGAAGGACTCAGTAAGAAAGCACAGACCACAGCTTGATTTATATTAACAGTGTAACAGTCCTTTACATCAGCAAACTCCTTCCTCTAAAGCACTGCCCTCAGTCGCAAGACGCACAATCCCTTTAAATCAGCACCTTCCCCTGAAATCAGGGTCCCGATGTCCCAGCCTGCCCTCTGCTCCTCCCGCCCAGCGCTGGGTACCGAGCTCACAGCTAGGTGGAGGCAACCAGCGAGGTACTGCGAGCTCGCAGGCTGTAACGCCCCGCGTCTGACCGGCTGCCTGCAGCCAGGGCAGGAGGGCAGCAACTCCGACTTCCACAAACACAACTCCCTGCCACCCCGCCCAGCCCCGAAGTCCCTAACGAAGCTATAGGCTTCTACTCACGTAGCTATGGAGCACTGTGGTGGTCTAAAAACCAAGCCAGCTCTCTCTAAATCTCAAATGCCTTCCACACAAAAGACAATAGAGGTGTGAAGCAGAATCACAGCTAGTTCCCCTTTGAACACACTTATCTCCAAAAATGCTAACTTAATATTATTTACAGCATGGGAAAAGCCACCCTAGCCTTAGAAAACGAGTATCAACTTGTGCCCTACTTCTCCTGAAAAAACTCACAAATATGTTCTTTTTATTTTTCTCTCCCTTTTGCTTGATGTTTTCTTTTAGGGATGAAAGCACAGATGACTACACTTTCCTTCCCTTAAGATGAACCTTCAGAGTATATGAATTGCTAGTGTAAACAGAAGAAAGGAGGGAATTACTAATTTAATGCTCTTCCATCTCTGGGGGAAAAAGCCCATGTAATTAACTGTAATGAGATTAAACTAACTTCTTGTTATTAATTTCCCAGTGCTGGGAAACTAAATCTGAGACTCATAAGACTGTGTATTAACAGTTTTATCAACATTTGGCTTGCATCCTTCAGTTTTTACATCAGTTTTAAAGGAAAATTATTAACTTTATTGAGTTGCAAAGTTACTCAGCAGTGTAAGAAATGGAATGTTGTTCCTTTAGGTAGAAATACCGGGTTCCTCTATAGCTGAAGACTGTGAATGGGTGGAGCCAAAAGCAGTAAATGCCAGCCAACACACATCAACAGAAGTGTAATTAGTAAATTCTTACCAACACTTTTTTCCATCACTTCTTTCTGACACATATCCTGAACGTTCACTGTACAATTCACGATAAACTCTGGAGCAGAGCAGTCATTGTTTAGCTGGAACTCCTCACACTGGTAGCACTGTATTTGCAAACCCAAACCTGGAACAGACAGGAGTTTTTGCTCAGGAGAATAACAACAACAATATATTTTTTTTAAGTAATCAATATACTCCAGAGATCTTTCTTATCTTTCACTGATCGCATTCTGCTGTTCCTAACTCCCCAATAACTCAGCAAAAGTTGGGCTTTGACAAAAGCACCGTGAAACAGAAGTGCCGCTCACTGGCCGGAGGCTGTGCCTGAAGCGCTCAGCACCGAGTTGAGGCGCGGGCTCCTTCCCGCGGGCGCTGCGGGACAGAGACGCGGTCCTCCCG